TGAACATAATATGTGATTCTGTACATTAATATGAATATGAAATGGAATGCACCAAAAAAATTTATTGAACAAAATATGCACTTTGACAGATGCTTTCATCCATGAAATTAGGCTCCTGTTAAAAGAGATATAAACTAATGTTAACTCAAAATTGCAAGACACATATACTCATAATTGCGAGAAAGAAAGAATTATGAGATAAAAAGTCAACACTTTCACTCAGTAATTAATCAACTGTAGTATCAGACAGGACCAGTGATCGCATGGTACCTTGGGTTTGAACACGGCACACGCTGTGTATTGACATTATCACACAACTGTTCTCCACCATGGTAGATCCCTGTCCGCACATAAATCTGAAACAAAAGGTAAAAACCAATGAGCAAACAGCCTCTTAGATCAAGTAAATGCTAGTGCAGAAAATTATAAGAAGAAACACACAAACAGCTTCCTGTTCTTTAATGGTATGAAACTTCTGCTATCTTACTAAACACTTCCCATTCGTTTTTTCATAATAAAAGACTTTCAGAATACAAAAAGACATCAGCTAAGCACCTTGTCAATGTCCCGAATATTCACATTAACGTATGTGGCACAAAGGACGCGTATCCTTAGAGTGCTGTTAATGGTCCAGAGTGATTTGGTGGAGGCCTCTCCGTTCATGTAAGGCGTGGCGGTGGAGATGCGGCGGGCGTAGGAGGGCATGGTGAAGTTGTCCATAGGCAGCTGAGAGTAAAGACTGTCCTTGGACATAAGCATGAGGTTTGGCAACCGACCCAGCATAATGCAACTCCGTACATACTGACAGAACCAGAAAGAGAGAAACAGTGAGAGATTTTATACATAAAGCAACATAATCAGCACATCTCATGGACTGTTAAGTCATCCAAAATGTCCAGAGCTATTTTTAGTGTCCTAAACACTAATTCTGGCCGTGCTTTTTGATGGGATGGTGTAAAACTTCAAATGCAGCCGGATACTCAGACTACTCATTTGCATTCTGTGTACTGGCTGGTTTTGAGATAATGAAAGCC